TTGAAAAATCAAAAATTGATGGAAATTGTCTGAAAAGCGCACAAAACCAATTTTTTTTTAAATTTTGAAAAAAAATTTGGAAGGTGAAATTTTTCAAATATTTGTGGTTTTGTTCGCTTTTTGGGCAATTTCCAGAGCTTTTTGATTTTTTGAAAATTTTGAATTTTTTCAAAATTCCACCACCTGATGCCTTGCAGAACCGGTCTCTCTCGAACTGTTTCAGATGTACTGTGTTTCTGACGAATGCGGTCTGTGCCTGACTCGGGCTCTGCACGGACCGGTCTCTGTATGACACGGCTCTGACGTGCCGTCTTTGAGAAGGCCAGGTGCTGCAGTCAACACGTGAAGCAGCCAGGGACGTACAGAGACCAGAGATGTGCAGAGGCCTGTTGGTGCATACACCGAGGCAAGCAGCAGCTGGTTGAGATAGAAGCCGAGTCCGGCAGACAGGATGTGGCATTCACCGAGACTGGCATGCATCTGTTGAGGTGACGTTAGAAAATTTTTGAAAATTTTCATGATTTTTGAAAAATCAAAAAATGATGGAAATTATCTGAAAAGCGCACAGAACCAATATTTTTTGAAAATTTTGAAAAAAGTTAATGTGAAAATTTTCGGTTTTGTGTGCTTTTTGGACAATTTCTAGCATTTTTTGATTTTTTGAAAATTTTGAAATTTTTCAAAACTCCACCACCTGATGCCTTGCAGAACCGGTCTGTCTCGGACTGCTTCTGATGTACTGTTTCTCTGACGAATGTGGTCTGTGCCTGACTTGGGCTCTGCACGGACGTTTCTCTGTATGACATGGCTCTGACGTGTCGGAGACATCGTGTTTTGACTGTTACATGCCTTGAGGCATGCCGGTGTGCGGCCTACCTAAGAGATCGCCTGAGGTAGAGAACGAGCCCGTCAAAGAACGGGTGAGGCGGTCAATGAGTCCGGTAAGAGCGAGTGAGGTAGTGACCGAGTCATAAAGAAATCGTGTGTGTCAGAGAACAGGTGTAGCAAAGATCGGGTGTAGCAGTGGCCGTAACGAGCAGAGATCTGTTCTGGTGATAATCGGGTAGAGAGATAATTTGAATTTTTTTTACAAACATCAGAAAATTTTCAAAATATCAAAAAATCTTGCAATTTGTCTATAAAGCGCACAAAAACCAAAGATTTTCGATGTTCTTGTATTTTTTGAATTTACAGCATATTTTGGTTTTTCGAAAATTTTGTAAATTAAGATTTTTTCAAAATTCCCCGAATCCCATCACTGAAGAGACTGGATTTTGGTTTTTCGAAAATTTTGTAAAATGAGATTTTTTCAAAATTCCCCGAATCCGATCACTGATGACTGCCAGGCTAGGCCTCTGTTGTGCCAAATATGACAAACTCTGTCTGTGTTGAAATCGGTCTGTGCACGACGAGTCCTCTATATTACCTGCGCTCTGACGGGAGGATTTTACAAAAACAGGGTCCGATAAGATTGGTTTTTGAAAAGACCGAGTATCACAGAGACCGGGTGAGAGAGAGACGGCGCGGCAGGAACCTGGTGAAGCTGAGACGGAGACTGGCGAAGAACGCGTGAGTCAGAGACCTGGTCTATCAGAGATCGCTTGTGGCAGAGAACAAGTCCGGCAAATAACGGGTGAGGCAGATAATGAGTCCGGAAAGAGGGGGTGCGGTAGGGACCGAGTCATACAGAGATCGTGTGTGTCAGAGAGCAGGTCTAGCAATAGCCGGAAGTGGCAATGACAGTGACGAGCAGAGAACTATTCTGATGATAATCGGATAGGGAGAGAATTAGAAATTAGAGAATTGGGCACGATACGTAAAATTTAAGGTTTTTTGAAAATTGTCCATATTCGATCACTGCCAAAACCAGTGACCTCCAAGACTGGCCTCTGCTGTACCGAATGTGAAACACCCTGGCTGCTGGAATCGGTCTGTGCACGATCCGTTCTGTATAATACAAGCGCTCTGGCGGGAGGACTTTGCAAAGCAGGGTCCGGTAGAGTCTGGTTTTGGCAAAGACCGAGTCTCACAGAGACCGGGTGAGAGAGAGACAGTGCGGCAGGGACCGGGTGAAGCAGATGCAGAACTGGAGAAGAATGCGTGAGTCAGAGACCTGGTCTATCAGAGATCGCTAGAGGCAGAGAACGTGTCCGGCAAATAACGTGTGATGCAGACAATGAGTCCGGCAAGAGCGAGTGAGGTAGTAAAGGAGTGATACAGAGATCTTGTGTGTCAGAGAGCAGGTATAGCAAAGACCGGGTGTGGCAGTGACCGAGACGACAAGACAACTGTTCTGGTGATAATCGGGTAGGCAAAAAATTCGAAAATCTTCGAAAAATCAAAATTCTGCGATCATTCTAAAAAGCGCACAAAATGAAAATTTTTAATTTTTTTAAGTTAAAAATTTTCAATTTTTTTGTTTTGTGCTCTTTTTGGAGAATATCCAGCATTTTTTGATTTTTTGAAAATTTTGTTAATTTTTAATTTTTTCAAAATTCTCCCCATCCGATCATTGCCAGAACCGTTGACTGCCAGGCTAGGCCTCTGCTGTACCGACTATGACACACCCTGTCTCTGCTGGATTTGGTCTGTGCACGATGCGTTCTCTGTATTACCCGAGCTCTGATGGGAAGTCTTTGCATCAACAGAGTCCGGTAGAGACCGAGTCTCATAGAAACCGGGTGAGAGAGAGACATTCCGGCAGGGACCGGGTAAAGCAGAGACAGAGAGTGGCGAAGAATGCGTGAGTCAGAGACCAGTTCTATCAGAGATCACTTTTGGCAGAGAACGAGACCGGCAAATAACGGGTGAGGCAGACAATGATTCCGGCAAGAGCGAGTGAGATAGAGACCGAGCCATACAGAGATTGTGAGAGTCAGAGAGCGGGTCTAGCAAAGCCCGGGTGTGGCAGTGATCGTGACGAGTAGAGAACTGTTCTTTTGAAAATCGAGAAGGGAGAATATTTAAAATTTTTGAATATTTTCGAAAAATGAAAAAAATGCTGCAATCCGTGCGAAAATCGCACAAAGCCAAAACAATTTAATTTTTTTGAACTTGAAAGTTTTAGTAATTTGTTTTCTGCGCTTTTTGGAGAATTTCAAGTATTTCTTTATTATTAAAACTTTCGAAGAATTTTGATTTTTTCCCAAAATACTCCCCATCCGAACACTGCCGGAATCGGTGATTGCTGGGCCCGGCCTCTGCTAGTATCTCTCTGTGCACGATCCGTTCTCTGTATGACCCGCGTTCTGACGGGAGGTCTCTGCATCAGAGTCCGCTAGAGAACGGTCGAAGCAGAGACAGAGACCGGCAGATGCAGAGAGAGTCCGGCAGATACCGGTTGAAGCAGGGCCCGAGAACACGTGTGTCGGAGAGCTAGTCTAGCAGAGAGCGCGTGTGGCAGAGGCCTTGCCAGGCATTGGCCTTCTGAAGCAAATACTGAGTCCGGCGAGTGACGTAGAGACCGAGTCGCGCAGAGATCGTGTGTGGCAGAGACTGGGTCTATAAGAGCCTGTGATTCGACGAGGCTGAGTCTCAGCGAGGCAAGGCGATGCCGTGTCTCGGTGAGGAGAGGCGCGGCCGTGTCTCGGGGTGGTGAGGAGGGGCCATGACTAGGCGAGGCACGGAGAGGAAATGTCTAGGCAATGAGAGGCCGGTTGTCGGCGGATAGGTGCAGCGGCTCGGTGAGGCCGAGTGTTTCACTGGTCAGGCCGGTTTAAGCAGAGGCCCGTGTCTGGCCGGGCCTGAGTATTGCCTGGATGGTCTCTTCCAGAGCCGTTGCCTGTCGTGTCCGGTCTATGGCCCGGCCGTTGTCTGTCCTGGTCGGTGTCTGCCCGGGTCTTTGTGTTCCCGTGCCTGTCTGTGGGCTCGCCGGGGTCTGGCCACACTGGTGTCCGACCGGTCCTGTGTCTGCCAGGACCGGGGTGTCCTCGGGCGTCTCTGGGCGGACTGGTGTTTGTCCGTGTCGGTGTCTGGATGGACTGGTTTCTGACCGGGTCGGTGTCTCTGGCCCGACCGGTGTCTGCGCGGACTCGAGGTTTTCGGTGAATGATATCGTCCTATTTCGTGGAGAGGTGGAGACAGCAATGTGTGAAATGTTGATGGATGTGTTTTGGCAGTTGCAGCGTGGTAGTGCTGCTGTAGACCTGGTGGAGGTTGAGAAATGATCGTGTCGTTCGTGATATGGTTGGTTTGCAGACGTGTTTGACGGGAGAGTTGTGGTGGTGGTGGTGGTGGTTTTGGCGGAGATGTTGTGGCTGTGGGAAAGTGGTTGTGATGGCGGAGATTTGGTGGCGGAAGGGACGTGGCAGTTTTGGTTCTTGTGGAGACGTCGAGTTGGTGGTTGTGGTTTGATGGCAGTGGAGCAGTCTTGGAGGCAGTGGTGAAGTCGTGGTACCGGTGAAGACATTCTGGTGTTGGTGGTCGAGACGTGGTGGAAGTGGTCACGTGGTGATTGTAGCGAAGGAGAAGTGCTGGCGGTGGGGACTTTGTGATGTCGTGGTGGTCATGTGGTTGTGGTGAAGATCTGGTTGTGGTTGTCTAGACGTGGTGGATATGTAGAACTGGAGGTGGTGTTGTTGGTGACGTGGTTGTGTAGTGTTGTTTCTGGAAACGTGGTGGTGTTGGGACGTGGTGGTGTTTGGACTTGTTGGCGGTGGATACTTGGAGATGGTTATAGAGACGTGGCGGTGGAATCGTGCTGGCTTTTATGACGTGGAATAGACGTTCTGGCGGAGACGTTATGGCGAGGGTTACATGGTGGTCTTGGAGGTGGTGGAGACGTGGAGGTAGCGGTGGGAACGTGGTGGTGGTGACGTGAGTGTTGTAAAGACGTGGTGGCGGTAAAGTCATCGTCGGTGTCGTGGTGGCATTAAAGACATATTCGCTGTGGAAACGTGGTGGTGACATGGGGGCGGTAGCCTTGAGGTGGTTTTGGAGACGTGGCAGTTTTGAAGTTGTTGCGGTTGGCATGAAGTGGTTATGGTGATAGAAAAATAGTTGTAGAGGTGGTGACATGATGACGGTAGTAGTCGTTGGGACGTATTGGTGGTGGTGGTTGGGTCGTTGTGGCGGTGGTGGTGGTAGAGACGTGGTTCTGTTGAAATGTGGAGACTGGAAACGAGTTATGGTGGAGCGTGCGGTGGTAGTGGAGACGTGCCGGCTTTGGAGACGTGGTGGTGGTGGTTGTCGTGGCGTGGTTGTGGTTGTGATGGAGACGTGTTTGATGTGAGTCATTGTAGTGGTACTTGTGGAAACATGTTAGCTTTGGATAAGTGGTGGTAGATATGATGGTTGTGGTAGTGGAGAATTGTTGGAGGCAGAGACATATTGGCGGTTGTGGTGGTCGTGATAGTGGTGGAGACGTGGTGGCAATGGAGACATCGAGGTGTTTGTCGTGGTGGTGGTTGGGACGTAGTGGTGTTGGTGTTGAATTTGTGGCGATGGTGGAGTCGTGTGGCGGTGGGTGCTGGACTTGGAGACGTGGTGGTACTGGTGGAAGAGACGTGGTGGCGGTGGTGGTAGTAGAGACGTGGTGTCTGTGGACAAGTGGTTTCGGTGGTGCTGGTTGAGACGCGGTGGGGGAAGGAAGTGGCTGTGGTGGTGGAGAGGACGTACTGGCTTTGGAGACGTGATGGTAGTGCTGGAATAGACGTGATGGCGTCGGAGACGTGGTTGTGGAGACGTGTTGGTGACATGGCGGTGGAAACATGGAGGTGTTCGAGACGTGGTGGTGGTGGAGAAGAGTTGTGGTAGTGGTTGGGACATAGTTCCGAAGGAGACGTGGTGGTGTTGTTTGTGGAAACGTGGTGGCGGTGGAGAAGTGATGGTCTTTTTGAAGACGTGGTGGTGGTGGTGGAGACGTGTTGCTGGTGGTGGTGGTGGAGTGGTCATGGCGATAGAGACGTGGTGTCGGTGGTGACGGAGCTTGTGGTCGTGTCAGAGATGTAGCGGTAGTGATAGTGGTGGTGGCGGCACTGACGTGGTTGTGGAGAGGGGGCGGCGTTGGTGACGTGGTGATTGTGATAATGGAGACGTCATGGCGATAAAGACATTTTGTTGGCTGTGGAGACATGATGGCAGTGGATACGGGCTGGACGTGGTGGTGGACACGTGGTGACATTGGAGGTGGAGACGAAGTGGCAGTGGTCACGTGGAGGTTGTTGTGTCGGTGATGACATCGTGGCAGTGGAAACCATGTGATGCGGTGATGGAGACGTGTTGGTGGTTGAGTCTTCGTGGTAGCAGAAACGTGGTGATGGTGGTGGTAGGGACGTGTTGGCGATGGTGGAGACTTGATTATGGTCATGGAGATGAGGTGGTGGTGTGATGGTATTTGTGGAGACGCGGAGGTAGATAACATACTGTGAAGAAGTGCTGGCGGTGATGATGTGGTAGCTTTGAAGAGGTGGTATTGGTGATGGAATACACATTGTGGCGGAGACGTGGTGGCGGTGGAGAGTTTGTGGTTTTAGGTATGTAGTGTTGGTGGTCGGGACGTGGTTGCTGTGGAGACGTAGTGACTGTGGTGAACACATTGTGGCGGTGAAGACGTGGTGGTATTTGTTGTGGAGACCTGATGGCGGTTCAGGCGTAATGATGGTGGTGTTGTAGACGTGGTGGTATTGGACACATTTTGAGATAGTGGTGGTGGATATGTGGTGGCGTTGAAGACGTGTTGGTTTTGGTGATGGAGACGTAGTGGTAGTGGTATTAGTGGTACGTGCTGACTTTGGAGACATGGTGGTAGTGGTGGAATAAATATGAGGGCGTTAGAGACGTTGGGGCAGTTGACACGTGGTGGTGGAGGCGTCATGTAATGGTGGACACGTGGTTGCTGTCGATACTTGATGGTTTTGGTCTAGACGTGGTGGACATGAATACGTAGTTGTGGTGATGATGCAAAAGAGGTGGTGGTTGAGTCGTGGTCCTGTTGGTGGAGACGGGGTGGCGGAGGGGGCGTGTTTGCGGCAGTGATGAAGACGTGGTTGCGGTGGAGTCGTGGTGGTGGAGACCTGGCAGTGGCGCTGGAGACGTGCTAGCAGTGGTTGTAACGTGGTGGTCGTATAACATTGAAGTGGCAGTGGTGTAGACATGGTGGCACTAAAATTATGGTGGTTGTAATGGTGAAGTTGTTGCTTTAGAGACGTGTTGTTTATGGTGGTGAAGACGTGGTGGTGGTGGTGGAGGTCTTTGAGGCTTGGTGGTGATGGATGAGTGGTTGTGGTCATGGGTGGAAAGTGGTTGCAGTGGATACGTGGTGGCGGTTAGGGCGTGTTGATAGTGGTGGTGGAGACGTGGTGGCGGTGAAGACGTTTTGGTGGTGGTGGTAGATTCGTCGTCTGGAATGAGACGTAATAGTAGATTGTGTAGAGACGTGGTGGCGTTGGGGACCTAGTGATAAAGTTGGTGGTGAAGACATGGTGTCGGTGGAAGGAAGTGGCTGTGGTGGTGGAGAGGACGTACTGGCTTTGGAGACGTGATGGCAGTGCTGGAATAGACGTGATGGCGTCGGAGACGTGGTTGTGGAGACGTGTTGGTGACATGGCGGTGGAAACATGGAGGTGTTCGAGACGTGGTGGTGGTGGAGAAGAGTTGTGGTAGTGGTTGGGACATAGTTCCGAAAGAGACGTGGTGGTGTTGTTTGTGGAAACGTGGTGGCGGTGGAGAAGTGATGGTCTTTTTGAAGACGTGGTGGTGGTGGTGGAGACGTGTTGGTGGTGGTGGTGGTGGAGTGGTCATGGCGATAGAGACGTGGTGTCGGTGGTGACGGAGCTTGTGGTCGTGTCAGAGATGTAGCGGTAGTGATAGTGGTGGTGGCGGCACTGACGTGGTTGTGGAGACGGGGCGGCGTTGGTGACGTGGTGATTGTGATAATGGAGACGTCATGGCGATAAAGACATTTTGTTGGCTGTGGAGACATGATGGCAGTGGATACGGGCTGGACGTGGTGGTGGACACGTGGTGACATTGGAGGTGGAGACGAAGTGGCAGTGGTCACGTGGAGGTTGTTGTGTCGGTGATGACATCGTGGCAGTGGAAACCATGTGATGCGGTGATGGAGACGTGTTGGTGGTTGAGTCTTCGTGGTAGCAGAAACGTGGTGATGGTGGTGGTAGGGACGTGTTGGCGATGGTGGAGACTTGATTATGGTCATGGAGATGAGGTGGTGGTGTGATGGTATTTGTGGAGACGCGGAGGTAGATAACATATTGTGAAGAAGTGCTGGCGGTGGTGATGTGGTAGCTTTGAAGAAATGGTATTGGTGATGGAATACACATTGTGGCGGAGACGTGGTGGCGGTGGAGAGTTTGTGGTTTTAGGTATGTAGTGTTGGTGGTCGGGACGTGGTTGCTGTGGAGACGTAGTGACTGTGGTGAACACATTGTGGCGGTGAAGACGTGGTGGTATTTGTTGTGGAGACCTGATGGCGGTTCAGGCGTAATGATGGTGGTGTTGTAGACGTGGTGGTATTGGACACATTTTGAGATAGTGGTGGTGGATATGTGGTGGCGTTGAAGACGTGTTGGTTTTGGTGATGGAGACGTAGTGGTAGTGGTATTAGTGGTACGTGCTGACTTTGGAGACATGGTGGTAGTGGTGGAATAAATATGAGGGCGTTAGAGACGTTGGGGCAGTTGACACGTGGTGCTGGAGGCGTCATGTAATGGTGGACACGTGGTTGCGGTCGATACTTGATGGTTTTGGTCTAGACGTGGTGGACATGAATACGTAGTTGTGGTGATGATGCAAAAGAGGTGGTGGTTGAGTCGTGGTCCTGTTGGTGGAGACGGGGTGGCGGAGGGGGCGTGTTTGCGGCAGTGATGAAGACGTGGTTGCGGTGGAGTCGTGGTGGTGGAGACCTGGCAGTGGCGCTGGAGACGTGCTAGCAGTGGTTGTAACGTGGTGGTCGTATAACATTGAAGTGGCAGTGGTGTAGACATGGTGGCACTAAAATTATGGTGGTTGTAATGGTGAAGTTGTTGCTTTAGAGACGTGTTGTTTATGCTGGTGAAGACGTGGTGGTGGTGGTGGAGGTCTTTGAGGCTTGGTGGTGATGGATGAGTGGTTGTGGTCATGGGTGGAAAGTGGTTGCAGTGGATACGTGGTGGCGGTTAGGGCGTGTTGATAGTGGTGGTGGAGACGTGGTGGCGGTGAAGACGTTTTGGTGGTGGTGGTGGTAGATTCGTCGTCTGGAATGAGACGTAATAGTAGATTGTGTGGAGACGTGGTGGCGTTGGGGACCTAGTGATAAAGTTGGTGGTGAAGACATGGTGTCGGTGGTAACGGAGCTACTGGTCGTAAAGGAGGCGTGGCAGCGGTAGCGTCGTGATGGCGGTGGAGAGCTGGGGGTTGTGGTGGTGGCAGAGACTTGATAGAGGTGGAGGCGTAGTTTCATTGGTGGCGGGGACGTGGTGGTTGTGGAAACGTTGTGACGGTGGTGTTGGAGACGTGGAATTGAAGACGTAGTGGTGGTGGAGACATGCTGGCTGCAGAGACGTGGTTGTGGTGGTGGAATAGAAGTGGTGGCATTGGAGACGTGTTAGTGATGGTGGTGGACACAATGGTTGTGGAGACGTGGTTGCGGTTGTGCTGTTGGTAAAGACGTGGTGGTAGTGATTGTGGAGAAGACGAGGTGACAGCGGAAATATACGGTATGTGGTGATGGTCACATTGTGGTGTAGACATGCTGGCGGTATAGTCTTGGTGGTGCGTATGGAGGTAGAGACGTGGTGGCGGTGGTGTTGGTGTTGGCGGGGACTTGGTGGTTGTGGAGAAGGGATTGCAGTGGACACGTGGTGATGGTGGTGGTCGAGCCGTGCTGGAAATGGAGACGTTTTGGAAGTGGTGGTGGAGACTTGGCGCTGGTAGCTTAGATGTAATGGCGCTAAAGGCATGTTGGTTTTAGTGGTGGAGACGTAGTGGCAGTAGAGACCTAATAGTGGTGGTGCAGACGAGGTAGCGGTGGTGGTGACGTGGTGGTTGTGAAAACATGCTTGCGGTGGAGACGTGCTGGAGGTGGTGATGTATTGCCTTTGAAGACGTGGTGGCGTTTGGGCCATTGTAGTGGTGGTGGTCGTGGTCGTGTAGACATGTCAGTGATAAAGACGTCGCGGTGGTAGTGGAGACGTTGCTGTGGAAACGTGGTGATAACAGTGGATACGTTGATGTAGTGGTGGTGGTGTTAATGGTGTGCCGGTTAATGCGTGGTGGTGGTGGTGGCGGAGATATGGCAGTAGTGGAGACGTGTTGGTTGTTGTGGTGGAGACGTGGTGGCGTTGGAGGTGTGTTATTGGTGGTGAAGACATGGTGGCGGCAGAGGGGTGTTGGAGGTGGAGATGTGGTGGCGTTAGAGACGGTGGTAGTGGTGGCGATAGAGACGTGGTGGTAATGGAGATTTGTAGGCGGTTTAGGCGTAGTGGTGGTGTTGGTGGAGAGTTATGTGACAGTGGAGACGTAATGGTGGTGTTTGTGGAGACATGGTGGCGATGGATATGTTGTGGTCGCGGAGAAGTGGTGGCGGTGAAGGTGGGGACTAAATGGTTGTAGAGACGCTTTGTTTGCGGATGTGTCGTAGACGGTGTGGTGGTGGGGACGTTTTGGTGTTAGTGGTGACATGGTAGTGTTTGTGGTGGTGGAGACGTGGTTGTAATTGTGGTGGCGACGGAGTCTTATTGGAGGTGATGGAGGTGGTTGCGTTGGAGACGTAATAGTGTTGGTATTGGCGTAGACGTAGTGACGGTGGCAACGATAATGGAATGCTGTAGTTGGTAAATAAAATCTCGATTTCAGATCATTCTAATAACTAGATTAGGCCCTCGATACTATTCCATTATAATGGCCAGACTGGACCGTGGACCATAAACCGTTCTAACTGCAGGATATGGGCATTGTCTAGATTGGGGCTTTGATCCCAGTTAGTTCTCGTTGCAATAAAGAGGCCTAGATCCTAGACCATCCATGGCTAGATGGGAACTTCGATCACAGAGTTTTACATTGGAGAGTTAGGGGTCTCAATCCTTAACAATCATATTCGCTACACGGCGGAAATTATTCTAGGATATTCAAATGGCTAGATAAGGTTAGAAATGAGTTTTGATTCTCGACCATTGCAATGGCTAGAGAGTTTATGGATCCCAGATAAGTTTGTCTAGATAGCGGCATCAATCCTAGACCTTTCTATTAGCTAGATATTAGTCTCATTCGTAATCCATTTTAATGTATAGATAGGGTCTTCATCCTAGACCATAACGAGACTGGAAAGTTGTAATGTGTACCGGAATATATACATGATTTTTTCACTATTTTGAATTATTAATGCAAGTTTGTGTCAGTTATCTCACATAGACAAATTTAATTTCCAACTACAAAAATCCTATTAGTGTCTTCTGTTTTATGTAAATAAACACCGCTACGATATAAAGCACGTTTGCTATTTGGTGGCGCACTGGTATCATACGCATTTGGTCGCGAGATTGAAATTTCGTCAAGCTGAACTTTTCATGATAATAAATTTTCTTAAGTCCCAGATACTACATCATTTTAATGGATACATACGGCTATCACCAAATACAATTAAAAGGGCTAAATACGTACCTAGATCCCAGACCATTCACTGCCATTGTTATTTAGAGACCCCGATCCTAGGCCATTCTAATGAATTAGTAGGGGCCTCGAATTTTTAAATTTTATTTCCTAGATAGTGCTTCAGTCCTAGAACATTATAGAGTGCCAAGCGGCCTCGATTTCAGGCCATTTAACGGCTAAATAAGAATCTGGTTTGTACAAAATTAGTGACTGCACAAGGGCCTCGATATCATAACATTCTAATGGTTAGACAGGGCTATCGATCCTAGATCATTATATTGGTTAGATAGAGGCCTCGAACCTAGGCCATTATAAGACGAGATAGGAGTCTGGTTAATTCCGGTTCACTTACATACTCGTATGTGCACATCGCCTCATAATCATCTCAATGCCGATAAGACTGGTCGTTCACCAGCTGGAACTGAACTTCAAGGCTGTCGCCCGTCAAATTAGAGAATTAATTACTTGTGCTAATGAAGTAACTACTTTAAATGTCCTAAATGATTATCTATGTACGTTGTGGCCCTTCATGTAATGGAAGAAATACACCTCAGACGAGATGGATGGTCGTTTCTCATATGAGCAAAGCATCCATTACGTAATTCAACAGCTCAGCCCTCGTGCTCGAAGTCGCTGCATATACCAGGAACTTCATATTTCTCCAATAACAGATAATAGTCTAAATAAGCCAGGTCAGTTAACCTCGGTGGCCATCAGATAATAGTCTAAATAAGCCAGGTCATTTAACCTCGGCGGTCACGCAACCAGACCCTGCAACCCAGTCCAACGATTTTGGAAATGACTGAGAAACGCAGTTACCTAATTACAAAATGAGTGCACAATCTCGCTGCAGCCACAGCTCTCGCTTGAACTGGCAGCTCAACTTCCAGGAATTGTTAGATATGTTCGTTTCCAGCAATATCCCACCAAATGTTACTGAAAAATGGTTCTGAATATATGTTTCTGTGGATACGTAAGGATTTTAAGCAATGAGATGTGTTAAATTCCCTGCGCAAATGATGCTGTCTCGGTTGCACGGAGCCTTATCGGTATAGAAAACATTTCGTGTGCTGCTGTTGGTTACCTGAAAGCCAGTGGCAACACTACCGTGCAATGTAATCGGTTCCTGACAGATTGTACTTGAAAGGGGCTCGCAGTGGCGTCAGTAAGCCTCGTGCGCCATGTGGAAGACATCGCCTAATCTATAAACAGAAACAGCGTGTTCTGTCGACGCCCCACTAGAAACTTCTCGAAATGCGTCCATGATTCTAGAAGTAAATGAGGCGCTCAGTATGGGTTAACATGCGTGACCTAGTGGACTTCTGAGTCGGAGTTACATGAGCCTGTTGGACAAGCTACTGACCGCCCTGAGTGCTGGTGACTTGGGTGAATGGAAAGAAAGAACTGGCCTTTATTAAGGCCCATCTTGGAGAGGTGTTAGCGGGTGTTTTGTGACAGCTAAAGCGTGGCAGTCTCGCTGAAAAGAATAGAGAAGCTGAGGCGTTCGCCAAGGTTAAAGGGTTGGACGAAAGATCCACTGATCAGTCCAGAGGGGCCAACCCGCCCCCGCCAGAGTCATACTCTGCCTGGCCTTTATTAAGGCCCATCTTGGAGAGGTGTTAG